ATATCCCTATTTCTTGTGCGCTTCCCAGTAAACCTTTGGCAATTCCATTTGCATCACGGCATCTGATCGTTTGTGTGGTATTTGTTTCATCGATATATTCAATTTCATCAATCTTACATCTTGTACCAGGTTTTAGACCAAAATCATTAACATTGTATTCAACAGCAGTGTGAGTGCGAGCATTATCAACCAATAGTACAAATTTATGTCCACGGAATGCTTTCTTGAAAGGTAAGAGTAAGAAAAGACGTTCAACTTGTTTTAGAAAATTCTCATTGTCAAAATAGTTGTTACCGCCAACATGTATACTTCCTGAAGCTGAATTTTTTTCATAATATATATCATTGTCATCATTTAAATCTGGATATTTTGTTAATGCATTTGCAAATTCATTGTTTGACAATGTAAAAAATGGGCCACTTGGGTGCATGATAAGAAAATCGGAACACATTACACTTCTTCCTCGTCCTTTATTGTAAAATGGAGCGTTTTCTTCTATTATCCATCTTTTGGCCGATATTTCACCAGATTTGTAATTACTCTCATCATGGCCTACACAATTAATACACGATTACGTTTCTGAAAAATAGCGAAAATACAAGATCATACAAATCAAAATTGTTGGTTCAACCGTTGGGATTTTCCAATCTGGTTCAAAATCATTCGTTATTGTATAAAAATGATTTTGATTTTTCATAAAATATTCAATAAACTGTTGTCGGTGTTGAACCACATCATTACGTTCATGGCCTAAAAAATATGGCCGTTCGGCGTTTGGTTTATGTTTTGCACCGAATCGTCGTAAATCTAATCTACAACTTTCTATTGATCTAACCAGTTGTGAATGAACTTTCTGTAATTGTGTTATATCATAGAAACGATCATCGATGAACTTTGCTAATTTTTCTGCCGTGAATGATGCTTCTTTTTTTGTACACTGTTCAAAAACATATTGTTTTGCTTCTAATTCTAATTCAGGAAAAATATCATAAACTGATTCATTATGTTTTCCACCTCTTCGGTCACTAATAAATTCATCAAAATCTTGAGTAACTAATACGGTGGACCATTTGTGAGCAGTTTTCGCCGTCATAGCACTAATTGTATCAAGAAAAGAACTAATTTCGCGCCATGAATGGCCGTAATATCGTAAACTAATGTATAATAAAACACTAATGAATCGTGTATTAATTTGCTCTTTGCAAAATGTAAATAAATCAGTAATTTCGTTTAGTATAGATGCACTTGAAAAATCGACATAGTTCGTAGGATCACTATTTTCAGGTACGATTTGATCTTCTTCTTCGTCCAATAAATTTGATGAGTTTTCTATTGAAATACTTTCTATTGATCTTCTTAGATTTAAATAACGATTGAAGCTACGCTGTTTTGGAAATTTCGGCATTGTTATGATCAAAAGCTAGGCTGGAATTTTAAAAAATTCCAAATCTATTCTAACAATGAGCAGATAGAAATGTTCCTTTCCCGCCGTTTCCCTCCAAATCAATATTTGTTCGTCTTAACATGATCCTATGAGAAATATTAGCTGAGATGTCGCTGTGATCTTATCTCACGTTAATAAGGAAAAGTGTAATATCAACAATTTTTGAAGTTTTCGTAATATAACTCCTTTGAAGGTCTATAAGGTTGTTTCAAAAATTCTCGAAACACATGCAGAAATGCCTTGTATAAGATTCCATGTCGTTTTTTATCCGTTTCATCATACTTCTGTGGAGTTCAGATGGAACCATCACTTTGTTTTAAAAAAGCGATTTTTTTTTGGGTGGATGTTTTAACATTTTAAGGTAGTTTTTCGGCATAGGAAGTAGATATTAAAAAACTCGAGCCGTATTCTTGTAGCCCATGAAAAGGCGGTTCTAATGACGTATGATTGAAGGTCCTATCTAATGTAGTAAAAAACTAGATAGATTTACAAGAAAGGGTAGTCTTGTAAAAAAGTGATATTTGGAGCGTGAAAATTTAGGTGTCATATATAACGTATAATTCAGTTTTAGAATACATACATAGGACCATGCGAACATGCGAAATTCAATTAGCATGCCTGCGAGAATAAAAAGTAAAGAATGGAAGAGAGAGAGAAGATAGTTTCCCGAGAAATGAAGATTTTTGGGATCTAGGGCCCTTCAGTATTTTGCATTTTTCTCCATGAAAACTCGATGAAAATTAAAAAATAATACCATATTCTTGATCAGCGTGAAAAACTGCATCTATCTATGCTAATTTAAGAAGAAAATCGAAGGTGCTGTAATTTTGCTTTGGGTGCACCTTACAAAACTTAAACTTCAGACTTTGCTCTTTCCAACAAAAAAACATTTAACTAGTTTAGAAGTTCGCAAAGTGATTTAATACACTCAGACATTTGTGCAAAGACTTTTGCATCGCATGTTATA